AATTGTATAATAAAGTTATTTTGCTATGGAAAAAATTGAAGTGGTGGGGAAGAAGGGAGTTGAATATTGTTTACATTCTGTTGGCGGCCTACGTGCCAGAGTCAACGTTCGAATGATATAAAAACAAAACGAAAAACGACCAACCCCTATTTGTTTGATTAAGGGGATGATTTTTTTTCCTTCCCCACATCCATAACTTGTTGTTGACTCCATTTGCTGTTCCAACTCCAAAAAAGGTGTTGCATATTTATGTACCCATTGAGGGTGAAAATTTTTGTTATTGATGTGAGCGAGCGGAAAGTTGGCATGAAATTTGATTTGATATGCCACTTAAGGGCAGATGGATGAATTTAGGAAAATCTTTTTTTTTTGGTTCAAAGAAAAATTTGATAAAAAAAAAAATAGGTTTCAAAAAATTATTAATTCAAAAAAATATATTCTCAAAAAACTAAATGTAAAATGTATTTATTCTTTTAAAAAGATTTTCTATATTTTTTTTTAAATTAAAAAAAATGTTTTTGATTTTCTCTTAAAATGCCTTAAATGCAAAAAAAATTAAAAGAAATCAAATTTATTTTTCTAGAAATAATAAAAAAAATAAACTGATTTTTTTAAATTTTTTAGATTTTCTCAATTTTAAAATAAATATTCCGAAACCTAAGGAATTCAAACTACTTTTTCATTCTTTACCATTTTTTTCTATTTTAAAGGGTTAAATTCTTCAATGGCATTACGGGAGCCACGGTGCTCTAGAAAAAAAACCTAAACAAAGACAAAGAGCATCATCTCTCTCTCTCTCTTTCTCAAACACAGAAGAAAAAAACATAAACAACGGCATTCACAGCAATGAAACAATGGTGTTTGTTGTTGGTTTGCATATGAGTGGAGTGGGGTGGAGGGAGAGCGAGAGAGAGTTCTGTGTTTGTTTGGTATACAAAATACAGCAAAGCTCAACTTAACTTTTCATGGCCGTTGTTCGTCTGCTTTTGCCTTCATCAAAATAAATGAAATGAGAAACAAGAAAACACAACAAAAGCCGTAAAAAACAACAAAGAAGAATGATGTCTACATTGATATTTCTTGGCGAAAAATAAAATGCCAACAACACGAAACCCCTGTGTGTGTGTATCAATGAAAAAATTTACAAGAAACGCAAACAATAATAACAAAGAAAGAAGAGAAAAACATGAAACGCGAAAGAATTGAATTATCAACAAAACAAAAAAAACCAGCCCCCGCCCCATCATAAACAAAACAAAATAACCAGCTGCCAGCCAGTCTTTAGCCCAGAGATATACATTTGTGTGTATGTGGGGGAAACAATGTAATGGCCATTGAGAAGAAAGAATACCATAAAAGTTCAAAACAAAAATAAACATGGCTGACTTTGGTTTGAATGGATTTGGATTGCTGAAACGGCAAACGCAGCTTTATCCAAATACCAAAAAAAAAAATTATAAATTAAAATTGTTGATGAAATCACTTACCGCCCAGCAAATCTTCAGTCATTTTTGGTGGTGTTGAAGTCATGTTTTTGGAGTAGGTTTCGGTAGAAAAACCAAAAAAAACTTTCTGCGAGTTCCAAAAAAAATTTAAATCTAAACAAAACTTTATTTCGCACAACTGTATTTGAGTCTTTTATTTACTCTAGGATTTGTTACTTTTTGTTTTTCCAAAAATTCAACAGGAAAAAAATTCACACGAATCAACGATAAATTGCGTATTTGCCGTTAGCCAAAATTATTGTTTTCTTGTATTTGCGTTCTTTTACTTTAAAATGTATTTCCGGTTTAATTTCGTTTTGTTAATTCACTTTATTTTTTCCAGAGAGAAATTATTTTATTTCATTATTGTTTTGTATTAATCGTTTGCTGTTTTTTTCTTTCTCTTTGTATACAAAATCTTTTTGTACGCCAAAGAAATTTATTTTGTTATAAAAAAATATTCAAACACTACCGACGACTTGCTTGGTTGGTGGTTATAATATAAAATGTTTTTACAAAATAACGAGCAATACATTTCACCTGGCCAAGAACCGATAGTAGCTAGGGATATGTAAGTCGACTTTCGACTAATCGATACATCGATTTTAGGATTATCGATTTTTTGATAGTCTTTTCATTTTAAAACCAAATAGAAGTGCATTTACACTTGGTCTGTTCCAGAAATGCAAGAATATAAAAGTTTTTCTGCGACAAACGATTCTCCCTTTATGGTATCGAAAAAATTTCAAAAATAGTAGTCTCTTTCATTTCCTGGAACAGATCATCTATTTGAAAATTAACCCACTGGGTAATTAGATCCAGTGGGATAACCCTGTGCATTGAATTTTTCAAAGTTATTCGTGATGGAATTCAAGCGTGATAGTGTGATTTCTTTATATTTAACTGGAAAGCCACAAGTGGTTATCGTTAGAGCACTCCAGCATTTGGATATGAATAAATCTTTTGGGTCTCGTACCATTGCTCTTTACAGTGATACTGGTAGCGTAGCCCGAGTCAAAGAAGTGGACGAAACAGCAACATCAGCAGAAATGTTTCGAAAAGTAAGGTACGACTTGATCGAAACCCGCAAAATTATCGCCTTTACTTGCCAAAGAGGTCAGATGAAAATGGTGTGGCGGCGGCCATGGTGATGGTGTGGGTCGCCGTAACAGCCGATGGTCGCTCTCCGCTCGTATTAATCGACCGTGGCATCAGAATAAATGCAAAATATTGCAGCGAAAATATTCTGGAAGGTGTATTAAGCCTTGGGCACGCAAATATTTTGGCCGCAGAACTTGAACATTCCAACGGCACACAGCACCATCGAACTCAGCACGCGCGACCCAATAATTATTTCAAAATGAGGTTCCTCGCTTCATTTCCAGAGCACAATGGCCACTAAAATCTCCAGATACCAATCCGTTGTACTAATGGGTCTGGAGTATTTTGGAAAGTAAGGTTGGCGCTAAAAAATACCAAAGCGTCGATCACCTCAAGCAAGTGCTTCGCCGCGAATGGGCCAACATACCGCAGAGCAACATTCGGGCAGCGTGTGATGGTTTGTTCCTGAACTGCAAGAATGTAAAAGTTGTTAATACAATAACCGGTTTCCCCCTTTAATCAAAAATAAATTGCAATTGCTGATAGATTATTGCGGGTTCTGTAACAGAGCTATAATGTTGAGAAAACATGTTTAAAAATGGTTTATGACCGGAATCATGTTGAAAATGCGGTTAAACACATTTATTTCTGTAAATTAGGTAGATAAATCCTTTTTTTATCAAAAGTTATCATTTCACTGTGAATACCAAGGCACTTGAATTTTATCAACGCCGTCATTTTGTTGCACGGCTTGGCTTTCATTTAAGTTATCAGCTGATAATTTTCTGAATGCTTTCTTTCTATATTTCTCTACATTCGTAAACAAATGCCATTTTGCTTTGTGGTCTTTCTTCATCAGCCAATTTTTTTCCATCTCCTCTATTCGTAGAACGTTTCACACTTTCTATTGTGGTAGTAGTGAAGAACTCTCGAAGATATGCGGCTTTTTTCCAAAAAACAATAGAAAAGAATTTTAAAAAATTAAGTTAATTTTAAGTTAAAACGAATCTCAGCAGACATGAAGTTCTCCGATGCTTTGCGGCGCCTTGATGCCTATCCACGCACACTGGAAGATTTTCGAGTACAAAGTGTTAGCGGGGCCATAAGTAAGTGATAGAAGAAACAACACCTACTAAATCTATGAGCTGAGCTGGCATTTGCATTTAATTGTTTTTATTGTTGTTTCTGTTTTTGTTTTTTTTTCCTAATCTAGTTACACTGATAAGCACAATTATTGTGGTAATATTAATATTCCTGGAATTTATGGCATATATGACACCCAATTTAACCGAAGATCTCTTTGTGGACACGACACGCACCCACAAGTTGAAAATAAATTTAGACATCACCCTACACAATTTGGCGTGCAGTTATGTTTCCTTGGATGCCATGGACTCGTCCGGGGATCAACATTTACGTGTTGATCATGATATTTTCAAACATCGCTTGGATTTGCAAGGCAATCCCTTGACAGAAACCGAACCGATTAAGGAAATTGTGGCCGTTTCGCCCTCAAATAAGAATACAACGTGTGGAAGTTGTTATGGTGCTGAATCTAATAGTACACAGTAAGTATGGGGGTGGGCATTTTGTTAATTAGTTTGGTTTAACTAATTTGGGGTTTGTTTTTCTTTTTTGCACTCTCAAGTTGCTGCAATACATGTGAGGCAGTTTTGGAAGCATATCGTGCCAAGAAATGGAATGCCCCACTTGATAAAATTGAACAATGTAAGGACCAGTACAACAAACGTTCTGAAGCTGATGCGTTTAAGGAGGGCTGTCGCATTCAAGGCCATTTGGAAGTTAATCGGGTATGTACGAGAAATGAAGATGGGGTCGTGGTTTGCAAGTAACATGATTACTGCAGCTGCCACGGATTATGATGTAGGAGAGTAGCATAATTACCGGTAATAGCATGGATGACCAAACACGACAGCTAATGCCTTTTTGTATACTAGAACGATCATCTATTGCAGTGTAGTTGGTTTAAAAGGTCAACTACACTACGGAAGATGCTCAAAATTGTATACAGTACTGCAGATACTTAGGTGAACAGAAAGCTCGTCTCCTATAATCTGAATGAAAAGAAACAGTATTTTACCATATGGCAAATATACTATGCTGTAGATAACTCAAAGGGCTGACTACTATAATGTAGGCGACCAGGAATGTCATCTGCAGTATCTTAGATATCCAAACATCTTCAACAAAGCACTTTATATGGGATTTCCTTTGGATTTTATTATAATATTTTTCTACCATTTTTATATCCTTCACAGATGGCCGGATCATTTCACTTTGCTCCGGGAAGTTCATTTTCTATACGGCAATTTCACATACATGACTTTCAAGGGACCAATGTTAAATTGGCGCACACAATCAATCATCTCTCGTTTGGGGACAAAATTGAATTTGCCACAACACATCCCTTGGATGGTTTCAAAGTTCAACCGGAAGAGGGTAAGTTCACAACAACTACTATTACATTTCCTTATATAGTAAACATGTTTCTATTTATATTGAATTTATATATATATTATTGTTTCAAGTAACTTAGGAAGAAAAGTAAGTTAAATAGCTAAAATCTACTTGTAACAAACAAAAATTTTGAAATCTTCAAGTTTAGAAAACTATGATGCTACAGACAAGCTAAACTCCAAAATTTGTTTCCAAACACCAAATTGTTTCTTATTCCAATATGTGTTCCACACAACATTTGCCACTCAGCAGCGAATGCCCGTACCAATGGCCATGAAAGTGCCAAATGTACCGCCACCTTGTATCATCACTTTGCCCACATTGTTGATAAGTTCACGGCCTCTCAAGCCATATCTGTTTGAATAGAAACAAAAAGAAAACATTAGAAAAAAATCGCAAACACATGTATTGTGTTAATAACGTCACATTAGATTAGCCCAAACACTACGTCATTATGTAATGCCGGTAGTTGTTGTGGGCTCTCCTCAGTGCCCACCAGTCTTTTGTATTTATGTTTGTTTTTAATATCCCAAAACATTTACTTACCTCAAGGCAGAAAAGCCACCAAACAAAGCTCCACTGGCCATACCCACACAGAAACCAATTGTGAAGCCTGTTTTCATTTTGTCAAAGCACGAGGGTCCTTGTTGACCAAATGCACTGCTGGGCATAGGCATATTGCTAGTATATAATTTGTTGCACCCTTTTTCAACAAAAAATTAGGCCAAAAAGTCTTTTTACTTAGTATATTTTACAAATTTCTCGTGTAATTCGTTATAATGTGAGTGAAATTCTGAAGTAAAGCTGTCAAATGAACGATGGCGCTATCGATATAACGATATTTTTTGTGTTGCTATCGATTTTTGTTGATTATCTCTGTTATCAGAATAAAGTGAGGTATACACCATAGTTTTGTTGATCAGCTGGCTACTTAAATACCGTTTTCTTCGGTTTAATTTTTACTTTCGCCTAGCAGGAGGTAGAAGAATACTCAAATACCGTTGTTCTTGTGTATGAGTTAATTGAGGTGCGGTACGCGCTACTTGACACATTTATATGTAAAAAACATTAAATTTATACATTTTGTCTTTTTAAACATATAATTTGATGTAGTTCTTGTAAAAAATCTGTCAAATTAACAATGTCACGACTGATAGGCCTTCATTTAAATCGATTGATCCCAATTTATATTAGGCAAGTAAGGTAAATCTTTGGTTATTGAAGAGAGATGTAAAGGGATTGGAATTGGAAAGGAAAGGGAATGGAAATGTTAATACAAAAAGACAGATAAGGCAATTCTGAAAAACAAATGCCTTGGCAAATTCTAAAGGCTCGACTAGTTCAAATCATGAGTTGCTTCTTTAATCAAGTGTGGTACACATTATCTAACGATGGCTTATTTTACACAATTTAAGATTTTTTTAAAATTAATTTATTATTGTTTCCTATCCTAAATCCACTTGTATAAAATTTTTTTTTTTTTTTTTGTATTGCAGAAACCAAATCGGAAATGTACAATTACTATTTGAAAATAGTACCAACCGTATATGTCAAACCCAATTCCGCACCCATCAATACAAATCAATTTTCGGTTACACGTTATCGCAAGGATCTGGGCAGCAAGGAACGTGGTATGCCCGGAATATTCTTTAGTTACGAATTGTCACCGCTCATGGTGAAATATGAAGAGACACAGAGGTAGGAAAGATAACTTCCAAAATAAAATAAACATTAATTTTCTGTTATTTTTGTTTTTAGATCCTTTGGTCATTTTGCCACAAATTGTTGTTCAATCATTGGTGGTGTTTTTACGGTGGCTGGAATTTTTGCCGTCTTCTTAAGCAACTCCTGGGAAGTGCTGCGCAATAAATTGGAAATTGGCAAATTAAGTTAACAACATGTGCTTGTTATCATCAGTCCAAAGGTGCTCAATTTCCATTCCTATTTCACTTCTCTCCCATTCCCGTTTTGATAAGAAAGCAAAAAAAAAACAACAAATGGCTTTTATGACTAGGCTTTTCCAGACCAAATACCTCGAAATTTTATTTTTTTACTATTTTTGTATAAAAAAATATGTCGTTTTGTCTACAGAATCTTCAGATTTTTTTAATAATTCATGATATTTTTCTTTATTAAGAATAGTGATTTTTTGTATTGATGTCTTATTGTTTTTTTTTTTGTAATAAACAAAAACGAACGCTAGTTCGGAATTATGCTGTGTGCGTGTAAATTATGTGGTTCTTTTTCCAACGGACAAAAATCCCGAAGTATTTGAAAAATATTTGGCATTCATTTCAGTCTGAGATTTTTCTGCCGCCTGGGGATTGACAATTTCCAAACCTTGTAGCGGAGTAAATGCCACACTGGAAGCTGTGCCGGATACAATTTGACGTTTCACCGTTGTACTACCACCATAGACTTGTTGTTTTTGTAAATTCTTTTGCAGCGTTTTGCTAATGCGAACTTTGGTTTTCTCATCAACCTGGGGTAGACGTATGCCAGCACCGGTCTTGCCAATGGTACCACGAGAATAACCCAAATCATCTTGATAGGCATCTTCTTCAATCTGCAAAGAGAACATTCTTAATTTACATTCTTTCCAAAATTTGAAAATTCTTAAAACACAACTTACATCACCAAAGTTCATGCGATTGGCATGTTTACGGAACTCGGTCAGGGCATAACGTTCCTTCATTTTGCGCACCCGCTTACCGCCACGCTTCTTTTTGCTACCCTCTATGGGTTTGGGTAAGGGTTTTATGAATTTCACCGGTGGCGGTTCCTGTAATTTGTCCAGTTTCTTTTCAATATCCTCTTTAAATTTCAAACCAATTTCTCCGTGTACACTCTCATGGCAGGCATCGACACGAGCAGCCAACACCGCCTTGGCGGCCACTAAACGGGCTGCCTTGCGCCTCAAATCGGGCGGAGTGTCTTGGACAATTTGCGAAAAGAACACATAGCCAGTGTGTGGTAACATTTGGGTTTTGGAAAAGCCGGCCAGGGTTTTCTTCTGGGAGCCCAAAACTTGTACATTGCAGGCAGGCATTTTGGAAAGTTTTGTAAGACCACCGGCAATGCCCAAAAGTTTGGCGGCCGTGGAGGCACCTAAAAAGGATTTAATTTTATTCCAAAATGCAAAAAGGATTCAGAATCTATAAAACTTACCCACAATCATTGATAGATTTGGGGCAATAAAAGTCATGCGACTCTCCACATATTCATAGATTTTGGTTTTAATGTTATTTAGCTCAATGGCCATGTCACAGGCCTCATCTATTTGAGCTTTTTCGGCGGGAGTAAGAAAAGTGCTAGATTACAGAATATAAAATCAGATATCCATTTTTAATTGATGTTATTGAGGTCTAATTTCTTACCCCTGAGTGGTGGAAGCTGTTACGGAAACAATCATAATGGTGGCCTGGGTGAGAATAGCCTGCAGCTTTTCATTATTCTTCACCTGATCCAGATCATTGCCCAACTCCTTGACAGCCAGTAAATACTCAATTTCCCCCAAAATCAAGGACTCCAATTCGGGGAAACGTTTCTGATATTTTTCTTTGGCAAATTTGTGAATAATTGCTGAAATAAACAACTATATATTAAAATATTCCATATACACATACTATATTTCATACATACATATCTCATTATCCACATCAACGGCCAATGCATTGGCATCCACAATTAGACGATATTCTGGATCTGACTCCACATTGCCCAACATTTCACTGGACGTGCGTTGACGCTGCGAATACATTTCGATTTGTTTCAAAATATTCTGCAGCCGTTCCGAATCTCGTAGTTTACACAATTCACGTATGGAATGAACCTGGACATCAACATCCATAAGATTTGGTGTGGGTTTTAGGAATTGTTCGATATCTTCGGGAACTTCATCGGCCGCGGCTTCCATTCCCGCCAAATCATCATCGACATCATTGTCATCTTCCAAATCGGCCAATAATTCATCAGCTAAAGACATGTTGGATTAATTAGTACCCGGTTCCTTCGTTACGATGTAAACGTTTGCCCAGAATCAATGTGTTTACGAATAACAAGACTAGAACGATTGGCCGATAAAGGGTTTTAAAGATCGTTTAAGGTTAGGGAATAGGTTTCTGAAAATCGAAAAAAGAATAAAATAGGGTTATATAGATAGATCTTCGCCAACCACACAGATGTGCCGTCCAATGAATTCGTCTATTTAAATAAATTAAAGGGAAATAATTAATTTCATTGTTCCATTATATTCAAGGGAAAAACCTGTTAACTTTCTAACTGGAAATGCGTACACTAATTCAACTAGCTCATTTTTTAATTTTTATTTATTTTCAATTTGTACCGTAACCTAGCCCATCAGGACTGTTCCTTAAACTACTGCAAAGTAATTATAATATCCTTTATCTCTGAAGTCTTATTTGAAATTAAAAATTAAAACAAATTAACAAAAATGAGCAAAATTAACAATTGAATGACGATTCCAAAAACTTCTATATTTTTTAATTAATGTTCCAGCTGATTGCCTAGCACTTTTTCGGCATTATGTATTGCTCTCATTCGTAAACACACGCTCTCAGTGATTGTGCTTCCTATTTAGTTTTTATCGGGGCGTTATGTTTTGCCTTCTTGTTTGTTTCATTGGGAACGTTTTTTATTTTGGTGTTGGCAAATTTCCGCGCCAACTCGCATTGCGTCAGTTTGCAAAAAAACTTTTGCTGGCTTCAGTCCTGCATGTTTAATTCCGGAAAATGTCTAAAAAATTAAATTCGAGTTTTTCCAAGAGTGGTGTGGGAGGATCTCCCAAAAATACACTATTTAAGTACTTCAGTTCGCCGGCGAGCCAAAAGAAAATACTCAAGACATCGAACGATGACAATGAGGAAGAAATCAAGGACAAGGAAAATATTAAAACTCAAGAAAATGGAAATGCTGTGAAAGAAGAAAAGAAGGCTCAGCGAATGGATGTTTCCGATGATGACGACGAAGAGGTGGTTGTGGGCAAGAAAAAACGTAAACGTTTGGTGTTGGTGGACTCTGATGATGAAGAAGAGGACGCTTCGCCAAAATCCAAAAAGAAAAGTAAAGATGATTCCTCATTTCATGGATCTGATGAGGAGGAAGAGGAGGAGTCTTCATGCTCGTCAGCATCTCCATCGCCTAAAAAGAAAAATGTATGTATACAAAATGAAGGGTGAATGAACGTTTGGGGAGGGAAATGTGGAATGTGGGGTAATTTAATACACATCAATTTTTTTTCCTCCTCCTAGCTCAAACAAGATGAACCCAAGTCCAAAAAAGTGAAATTGGATGCATCCTTGGTTTCAGGCACATTTGCCGAAAAACTACAACAACTCCAGTCGTCAGAAGATTGTAAAACCACCAAAAAACAGGAAGCCAAATGTGAGGAAATTGTAACAACATCGACGCTTGATGAGCCGGTTATATGGCCTCATCAAAAATTGGAATTTTTAAAACCTGACCAAATCAAAGACAAACAAGGACGTAGACCAGATCATCCGGATTATGATAGCTCAACCTTGTATGTGCCTGCAAAATTTTTGGATTCTCTTACGCCGGTAAGGTGTTGTGGAACTTTGGGGAAATTTTGAAGTTGAAATATTTTTTCTTTCCAGGGCGTTCGTCAATGGTGGGTCTTTAAATCGGAGAACTTCGATTGTGTTTTGTTCTTTAAAGTGGGAAAATTCTATGAGTTATATCACATGGACGCAGATGTGGGTGTTAATGAGCTGGGCTTTACCTATATGCGTGGCGAATTTGCCCATTCCGGTTTTCCTGAGGTTTCTTTTGACAAAATGGCCTCAATTTTGGTTGAGCGAGGCTATAAAGTTGCCCGTGTAGAGCAAACTGAAACCCCCGACATGATGACGGAACGTTGTAAACGTATTAAGGCCACCAAATTCGATAAGGTGGTAAGACGAGAGATATGCCAAGTGATGAATCGCGGCACTCGTGTCTTTGGCTCCCAGTGTAGTATTACACCCAACTATCAAGCCAGTTATATGTTGGCCATTGTGGAGAAACCCCATCAGACGGGTGGTACCAGTAGCTATGGTATTTGTTTTGTTGACACCTCAATTGGTGATTGTTATTTGGGTGAATTCGATGATGATAAGAATTGTTCGCGCTTGCATACCTTGTTATCGCATCACATGCCAGTTTTGGTGGTTTTGGAAAAGGCCAATATTGGCGAGCAGACACAGGATATAATGAGAACTGTGTTAAGTGGTACTCTAAAGGAGTACATGCCGGCCAATGGCAGCCAACAGAGTACGGCTGAGAAGACACTTAAAGAGTTGGCGGAAAACTATTATGCCTGCAATGGTGATAATTGGCCGTTGGTTTTAAGAACAATGCAAGATGAATCAGATCACTTGGGTTTGACACCACATCGGGATGCCAGATTGGCGTTAAAGGCATTGGGTTTGTGTGTAAATTACATGAAAAAATGTAAAGTGGCTGAAAAGGTATTACCCATGGCCAGATATCATTTGTACGAACCACCAGATGCTACTTCAAAGAGTCCCATGAAAAAATCGCCAACCATGCACAGGGCCCATATGGTCTTGGATGCCACAACATTAATGAATTTACGTATCACCGGCGAAGAACACTCTTTGCAGTCCACTTTGGATCAATGCTGTACGAAATTTGGTAAACGCCTGTTGCATCATTGGCTTTGTGCCCCGTCCTGCAATTTGGCTGTAATTAAAGATCGCCAACAGGCAATTGCAGAGTTTTTGGAAAACTCCAGTCTATTGCAGGGAATCAGAGCTGTGATGGCTCCACTGCCAGATTTTGAAAGATATTTGGCTCAATTCCATCACTTTGGTAGTAAATTGGTACAGGAGAAACATCCCGATGGAAGGGCTATACTGTTCGAGGCAAAGCAGTATAATAAAAAGAATATCCAGGTAAATGTAAACCAACTTTAAAGTGACCCCAAAAGAAGTAAAATGATTATGAAGGGAGATAATTGAGGAAAATGCCACTTTCCTTCGACTGCTTTCAAAAACATAATTTTGCTTTCGGGGAACATGCTGTGTCTAAAACATTTATGAGGTATTTGTAATCATTTATTATTTGTTTTATAGAATTTCATTACCATACTGAGAGGATTTGAGACATTGCTTAAAATACCCAGCATGTTTGAAGGAGTCTCTTGCAGTCTACTGAAACATTTAAGCCAAAATGAAAATAATGGTGGAGCTTTTCCCAATTTAAGCAAACAGCTGACTTTCTTCAAGGTAAAGTAGAAAACTATTTCCTAGTAATTTCAATAATCCTCTACATCCCTTGTTTAGGAAGCCTTTGATCATGCCAAAGCCTCTGAGAGCGGAGTTATTGCCCCCGAACGGGGCGTCGATGAAGACTATGATCGAGTCGAAAGTAAAATTCAAGAAATCAAAGATGAATTGGAAGAATATCGCATAGAACAGGAGAAATTCTTTGGGTGTCGTGTGGTTTATTTTGGTGCAGAACGTAAGCGCTATCAATTGGAAATTCCCGAATCAAATGCCCGAAAGGTCAATAGTAAATATGCCTTGGAGGGACAGAAGAAGGGTGCCAAACCTAGCAGGCGTTATACCACCGAAGAGACAAGAGTAAATGTTTTAAATTAGATATAATTATGTTAAACCAATTACTTCTCATTTCTCTTGTAGACCTTCCTCAAACGCATGCTCGCAGCCGAAGATGAACGTAATGCAATATTGAAAGATCTGTCACGTCGCATCTTTGAAAAGTTCTCACAACACTATGAACTATGGAAGCAATGTGTTGATTGTGTGTCCGAAATCGATGTCCTTGCTTCCCTGGCGGAATATGCCCGTACACAGTCGACCTCAATGTGTATACCCGAAGTGGTAAACCTTTCGGAGGGAGAACAAGCATTTATTGAAATTGAAGAAGGCTATCATCCTTGCCTCTCTTCTGATACATATATACCAAATGGTTTGTCATTGGGTTGTAATGATACGCCAGCCTTATCATTACTTACCGGCCCCAATATGGGTGGCAAGAGTACACTAATGCGACAGGTGGGATTACTAACGGTAATGGCCCAAATTGGTGCCCATGTGCCAGCCGAGAGTTGTCGTTTGTCTTTGGTCGATCGTATCTTTACACGTTTGGGGGCCCAAGATGACATCATGTCCGGACATTCTACATTTTTGGTAGAATTGAATGAGACCTCTTTGATTCTGAAACATGCCACCGCCAATAGTTTGGTGTTACTGGATGAGTTGGGTATGGTTTGCATTTTTAATTTAAGGACAGAAGAAAAAAATTAAAAAATGTTTTTTTAGGTCGTGGAACTGCCACCTATGATGGTACTGCCATTGCTGCTTCTGTGGTGAACTTCCTGGCAGATCTCAAATGTCGCACCTTGTTCTCTACACATTATCACAATTTAATTGATTTCTTCCACAATGATGATCGTATTACATTGGGCCATATGGTAGGTAGTATGTTGGTGGTAGAGTTGTGTCAATCTAGTTCATAGTTCAGTACACCTAAGCGTATGAGTGATTTCATAAAATGCATATCTTTTATATCACTCATACGCAGGGTTTTAATATAAACCACCGCATTCCGCCTAACTAGATAAGTAGCTAGTTCCTTCGATCAAATTAGATTGCCGCATCTCTAATTGGTGATGAATTTTATGAATATTTAATTATCTGTGTTTTTAGGCCTGCATGGTTGAAAATGAGGATACCGAAGATCCTACCCAAGAAACGGTTACGTTCCTATATAAATACTCGGCTGGCGCTTGTCCAAAATCGTATGGTTTTAATGCTGCAAAATTGGCTGGCATGTCTCATGGCATCATCAAGAGAGCATATGCAGTAAGTTTCCAAGGGTCATAATAACAACACAAAAGGAGTTTTGTGAAGAAAAAAGTACATGGACATTTGGTCAGATTAGAGGCAGAATTTTGAGTCTATAAATGTAGAAAATGTTAAGGGAGTTTTCAAGAACTTAAGCGGAGATTTTAAGGTCTTAAAATTGCTACCAAGAGGACTTCTAAGTATTTAGACGTGGATTTTTAAAGACATTTGTGAAGAGGACTTGGAAATATTTAAATAAGGATTTAAGAGAACATTCTTTCAGGGGACTTTTGGGCCTCTAAGCGTAGATTTTTAAGAACTGTTTTTCGGAAGAATTTTACATAGGTATTTAAGAATATTTATGTTAAGAATTCAAGATGTTAAGAAGGTAATTTTAAAGATCAATTTTTCAGAAGACTTTTTGGCATTTAAACGTGGATATTTAAGACAATTTTGTAAGAGGCAATTAAGGTCTTTAAACAAACACAAACATGTACCTGCTGGTCCAATGCTATAAAAGAGAATCTCTAGACCAAAAAACCTATCAGGCAGGTCTGAGTGGCATTCATACTGATCCAGTCGCAGATGCTATCAGCAATTACAGGAAGAATGTCGTCCTCGCAGTCCATCCCCCATCCACTGCAGCTGAAGAACGCCAGCTGACTAGAGAAACTAAGGTAGTTTTGGCGCAATTACGTTCAGGATGAGTGTAGTCGTCTCAATTCGTATTGGGCACATATTGACGAAGATGTGCGTGTCTGTCCGACGTGTGATAAAGGCCCACACAATACGCTGCACCTCTTTAATTGCACAGGCAAACCTCTCCAACTCACTCCAGAAGATCTCTGGCTACAGCCCGTTAAAGTAGCCGAGTTTTTAAACCTGGAGCTTGAACCGGATTGGCTGAATACAAACATACATATTTACTACTGCTAGAACAACAACATCTTTAAACTTGAATTTTAAGAACATTCCCTTGGGGATCTTTTTGATCTTGAAACGAAGGTTACGTTTTTAAACGCGGATTTTAAGAAAATTTCTTCAAAGAACATTTACGTTTTTAAACGCGGATTTTAAGAAAAAATTTGTAGGGAAATTTTTGTCCTTGAAAAGTGGGTTTTTTTTAGAAATTCTCTTAAGAGGACTTTTAGATATTTTAGCGGGGATTTTAAAGAAAATTCCTTAAGAGGACATAAGTTTTTTAAGCGTGAACTTTGAGAATATTTCTTTGGGAAACTTTTTGAACATTAAACGTGGGCTTGTTAAAAAAAAATTCATAAGAGGGCTTTTAGATCTTTCAAGGTAGATTTTTAAGAAAATTCCTTAAGAATATATTTAGGTCTTTAAACATGAACTTTTAAGAAAATTTCTTTGGGGGGAACTTTTTGGTCTCAAGAGGTCTTAGGTTTTTTCACGTGGGTTTTTAAGACAATTCCTTGAGAGTACATTTAGGGGTTTAAACGTGGATTTTTAAGAAAATCTCTTAAGACATTTAGGTTTTTAAACGTGACCTTTTAGGTTTTTGTGCGGAGCTTTTAGATTTTTAAACGTAGGCTTGTTAGAACATTTCTTAAGAGGAACTTAAGGTCTTTTAAATTATACTTTTTCCTAATTCTTTTTTTAATTGCTCTTTTCTTCTTTATTTCAGCTCTCGAAAAAGGTTGAGGCCATAGCCCTCAAACGTAAGATTGCCGCTAAACTTGTGGCTGCAGCAACGGTTGGTTGTGCTACGCCAGCACAGGCCAGTAACTTGAAGAATCTTCTCATACAACTGCAACAGTGCCATGTTTAAAGAGCCAAACATCAAAATATTACTCAATTTATTTTTGTTAAACCACATTTTTTATGTTTTTTTATTTTGTTTTTTCATATCCATGAGTCTTACCAGTATTTGCCGAAAATGTTTACCGGATAAACATAACCAATTAATAAAACTCCAATTACATGTTTTTTTTTTAATAAACTTTGTATGTTTTTTTGTATTGTTTATTCTTCTTCTTCATTTATTATCACAGTAAAAATAATAATTAAATACATATAAATAAATAACACATACATATAAAACTGACTATTGCTTTAAATTTATATATAAAAAACGACAAGGACACGATGACAAATAATAGAGAACAAATAAATTTGTACACAAAAACTAAATCAACTTAGAGTAAAAGATATAGATGCTTACAAATAAAAAAGTAGTGTAGTATATCTTTTTTTACTTAATATTTAACAAAATACATGGCTAAAAATTATACAAAAAATATTTGTTTATTTTAATTAACTTAGTATAATACAACATAGTTAGGAATACGTTTTTGTTTTGTTTTTTGTTTAATTACATTTGTTGTTTTTCTTTTGTATAAAAAAGAGAGTTTTTGTATTATATTATTTTTTTGTTGTTGTTGTTAAATATGCGAGTGTTGCAAGAGAAAGTATTTGATTGATTCGATACTTAAATGAATTAAACAGATCGAAGGCAGCAGATAGAAGCTGGAGTTTATTTTCATTTTGCTAAAATAAACATAACCAAAATTATTTAAGGTTATGGCCATAACCTCAAAGTTTAGGGGTTTTTCAATAAAAAAAATTCTTAATATAATTTTGCAAATTCTGCTGCCGTCGGTACCAAAAAAGTAATAAACAATCTTGTATACTAACTTTCATACATTTTTTTTCTGTTTTTATTTTTTGTAATTTAAAAAAGCTTTCTTTTCTACAAAAAAGTTTTGTTGAATGCATTTTTCTTGTTTTTGGTACTTGTTGTTTTTTTTTTTTTGTTACTCTAATTTTAAGCATAAACCAGCCGCATTAGATTTTGTTTTTCATAGAAGCTATTTACAGAAACATTTATATTTTATTAAAAAGAAAAAAATATAAAATTGGAAAGTTATGGAATTCATTAAAAATAAATTGGTTTGGGGATGTGGTTTTTCGTCAGTCATGTATTTTAATTTTTTTGTTTAAAAATTATTGTGTGCGTTTAAGGTTCATGTTTTTTTTTTTTTTTTTTTTTTTTTTTTTTGAGGGTTTACTGATTTTAAAAACAAAGTCAGACAATTTGCAAAACTCGAACAATTTTTGGCCGTAGCGCCTTGGTTTAACTTGTTGTGTGACCACATGGCTTTACAAAGCATATTTATAGTCACTGAACATACCCAAGAACTGATATATAAAGTAGGGTACACACTAGAATAAATGGTTCATAGAATACAAAACACCAGGTTGAATATTAGCTTAGATTCGGGATTCCGCATATTCTATAATCAACCAAATGCTTACATGTCAGCACAAATAACATGAATGTGTCACAGGATACAAAACGCTAAGTTGACTAGCCGCTTAGATTCATGATAAAATTTCAATAAAACGAGCGCTGCTTTACACAAAACATGAATGATCCTGTTTAAGGACAATATTATTAAGGATAAACCAATTATAACGCAATATGTTTTAATGTAAACCTATCATTAGTCTTGAAAGTATCCTTTAATGTGAAGCTAGCATATTCAATAATCACTGAACATACCCAAATGCTGACATGTAAGGTGGGATACACACTAGCTAACATGAATGGGTCACAGAATACAAAACGCTAGGTTGGATAACAGGTTAGATTAAAAAATTTCAATAAAACGAGGGCTGCTTTGCTTAAACACAAAACATGAATGATCATGTTTAGGGACAATCTTGTTTATGATAAATCAATTATAGCGGAAATTTGTTTCAATGTGAACGTAACCGTGGTCTTAACAATATGTTTTTATGTAAAGCATTTTCAATAGTCACTGAACATACCCCAGAGCTTATAATAAAAGTAGGGTACACACTAGCTAACATGAATGGTTCAGAGCAAAGTGTTCCCAAATGTCTTGATCACTGAACATACCCAATAGCTGATTTATAAGGTGGGGTGCACACTAGCTAACGTGAATAGGTAACAGCAATGGATTCCGAAAAGATAAAAAAACACAATATCTGGGCAAAAGCCAAACATAGAAATCATTAAACATATGCTAGCATGTAAAGACGGGTACACACAAGATAACACAAATCTAAAGAATTTTCGCCAATGTTATTGGTATTTCAAGGTCACAAGGCGCACCAACCATGCGTAACATATTAGAAGGAATGTAATTTGGAAATAGAGAAAAGGGATTGGATTGGGAAATTCTTTTAACTAAAAATTTAAAATTCTGGACTTATAATTAAAATATTTTCTTTTTTTGCTTTTTCTTTTTACATAACTTTTCTTTGTTTTTGTGTTCTTTTTTTGGTAAAAATAACTAGATTTGTATGCTTCTTCTTTTTTGGTTTTACTACAGGGGGGGGGGGGGGGTCCTTATAATAGGGGGTTTGTATCATTTCGATTTGATTATAACAGCACAAAGACTCTTTTTTTTCGCCCCACAAAACATTTATCAGTCGATCTCATCATCATCATCACTTACCACCATTGCAATCCTCATTGTATGTCCCGCTTTTAATCATCTGTAATTACATCTTTGCGTGCCTTAAAATTACGCCATGAACCATTTGTACAAACACCAGCACCGCGCCACCAATCATTGACATCGGTATACCAACGCGGCTTCTTTAACGATTCCTCATCGTGCAGCGATGCACACACCCTACACCAGTAGTAGGTATTTATAAACTCCCCCGTACCCTTCCAATTGAAATATGAGTTGTATAGCTTTTCATCGTTGTCCAGTATGTGCAAATAATCGGCTAATTCGGAAGCTGAGGCAAACTCATCGACATGTATATACGATCGTTGTGGTGCACTAACTTCATAGTCTTCGGGTCGTGCACCCATAACAATGGGTAAAATGTTGCGATTCAAAGCGTTAACGAAAAATTTCTCCGTAATGTAATCGCGACAATTTGAATTCTCAAATGCCAAATAGAATTTATAGTCTCGATCGAGCATTTCGAAGCATTTGTCAGCATTGACGCGGGAACATTTGTAATTGCCACAGGCTCCATAGATATCAACCTGGGGGAAGTAGGATATGTTTGTTAAATAAGAATATGGAGGTATTTGTCTCATTCTTACGTCAATGTATTTACCCAATTCATGGGCGAACTGCAGGCGTCCATTTCGGGCACCACAATTTGACACAAACCAGGCAACTTTTTTCGTTTTATTGGCAGCGTAATTTCTGTCTTGCTCCTGTTGACGGACTCGATCATCGTAGTATTGCCATTTTTCATAGGGCGCCACTATGTCACTGTCACGCCTAGTGAGGTTATGTTCAGGGGAAAAAGTGAGGTTATAAATAAATAATTATTTATCTAAAGACGTTTACATGGTAAAATTAAGAAGGTAACGTCATTTTAAATAGGCATATCCATCTCTGCATTTTTTTTTCTAAAATAAAAATCGTCAAACTTTGACTGGATAATAATGGGTTCCCATCTCGGGTTTGTGTATGAGCAATGGATTTATATTTTGACAATGAGATGTTGTCAAATGAATAATTTTGAAAAAAAGTGAACATATGATTGCATGACCTTTCCTTCTTAATTCTACATGGATATGGATAATGAATTTAAGGTGAGAATACATAAAACACTTTTTGGTTAACTTAAGTCATTGGCTGGTTTCTTCGAAAAAGAACAAAGGAGCTTAGGACCAAAATCGAACTAAGTCAACCTAAAACTTCATTGTTCCTCTACGGAGAAGCCAGCCAATAACTGAAGACAGTCAGAAAAGCCTTTTATGTACTCCCACATTCATACTTTTCAAATTTTATGTCACGGTACAATTAAGAAGGTAAAGTCATTTCAAAAAAGCATACCCATCTCTGCATTTTCTGTAATTTTGCTTGTCAAATTTCACTGCATAAAAATAGGGTTACCATCTCTCGTTTGTGTACGTACAATGAATTTATAAATATACATTTGACAAAAACGTATTTTCAAATTTAAAATTTCGAATTTCGGTCTACCTTCTTAATTCTACCATGTGGATTGTCTTAAAGAAAATATCACCCCCTACCTATATGTTGCCGTCCAATTTACCGCATCCGGTACTTTAACATTTTGCGTATGATACGGACACTCCAAATGATACAACATTGTGACCTGTCTAGAGTTCGCCGGCCGTCTTATACCCGTGGGTATATAATGATCTTTATACAAGATCATATCGGCTGTGTTGGCTTGATCGCGTGAAGCAGTTATGGTACATGTGTCCACGGGACACTTTGAGCGTAGGAAGACATCACGACCTAATCGAAAAAGCCAACATTAAAAATAAAACTCTTAATGTGTACTCAACTTAACCTACCGGCTTTAACATTCCATGGCCCCAGGCCATTATACAGCAGTATGGTTTTTAATTTACCACTGGATTTGATTTCCTCATAATTGGTTGGTACATACATCAATTGATTTACAATGCGATCACTGTGCGGATCTTGGTAGGGAAACAGTTTCGAACCCTGCAAATGGGCCTTTTTGCCACGACGTTTTTTGGGTATTTTTGCGGGCTTGGGATAGTAGTCGCCATTTTTGAAGAACCATGGTCGTGGCAATGGTTCCATATTATCGGAAGCTATAGGATTTTGTTGTTGTTGCTGCTGTTGTTGTGGCGATTGCAACACATTTGATGACTGCGATTGCTGTTGCTGCGAATGTGGCTGCTGCTGATATTGATGCTGTTCACTGTCCGGTTGATCGGATTCTGTGTGTGTGGTTTTTGTTGTTGTAACTTTAGCATTTTCCCCATCCGTCGGCTTGTCCGTATCATCGTCATCATATTTCTCATTATATTCTTCGCCTGGATTTGGTTCAAGGTGTTGTTGATGATGTTGCTGCTGCTGCTGCAGCAGTGATGAAGATGATGATTGTGCGGAATTTTTTGATTTCCATACATCGCGTTCTCTGTTTGTTTTATTGGTTTGGTTGTCAGGGAAGAGAAAAATAATTATTAGCGAATAATTAAAAGAGAGATAAGATAAAATATATGTTTTTGAGATAAGATAGATGACTACCGCAGCAGCATTGTTTTGGGGTCTGTTTTTGTAAACAAGACGGATTTCCCCTTTAATGTTTTATGGAATGTGGGATGGTCGTATTATGTCTGGCATTCAAAGCATGTTTACATATTATAAATCCAAGGGATTTCATTTGACACATTCTCAATGGAATTGACAGTTCATATACACTCGATTTATTATATTACCGAAACGTTGTACAGTTGGTGAGAAATTCATACATTTGATTGAAAGTGTGTACACCACTTAAGTGTGCTTCATTTGTCTTGTAACAAGCATGTCAAATATGAAACACAAAAGTAAACATGAACGAGATCGTTGCTCTCTCCATTTCATGAAAGATATCTGATTTTTTGGAAGAAAATAGAGACGTATCATCTCTTTTGTCTCCAGTGTCTACTGGGAACACAAAACCTTTCTCATGACGGTGGAATTGACGGGTGATATCCACTGGTTTTATTATATATGAACAACGTTCCAATTGGTTAGAAATTCATAAATTTACTATTGATATTGATAGTGTGTACGACACTTCAACCACTACCACTTTGAGTGTGGTTAGTTTGTAAAGCACATAACGGACATTAGGAATTCACTGAACACACCCTAAAGATGAGATTTGAAGTGTATTACACATTAGCTGGCGGGAATATTCATTGGTAAAATAGACATTTGCTCTCTTCATTTCATGAAAAATATTTGTGTTTATATGCGGGAAAAGATGGGAATCTTATCGTTTGCCTACGCTCTCTCCTGTGTTTTACAACAATTCTCATTAATGTTTTTTTGTGTGTGTCTTCCCAGTGTCACATAACGGACATTAAGAAATCACTGAACACACCCTAAAGATGAGATTTGAAGTGTATTACACATTAGCTAACGTGGACATTCATGGGTAATATAGACATTTTTAAAGAAAACAAACGTTTTTGGCCTTTCTAGACGGATTAAGTGTAAATAGGATCATTGCTCTCTTCAGTTCATGAAAGATATTATGAATTATTATTATTATTTATGTACGATAACAGATCAGAATCATCTCTTTTGCATACGCTCTCTCCTGAGCTAAAAAAATGCTTGTGCAATTTTTCTGTGTGTGGCTTCCCAGTGTCACATAATGGACTTTTGGAAATCACTGAACACACTCTACATATGAGATTTGAAGTGTACTACACATTAGCTAACGTGAAGGATATTTCTTGTTAATTTAGAAATTTTTAAAGAAGAAAAGTTTTTGGACATTTAAAAACGGAATGACAACATCATTCTTGTTCTCAACTTGGTTTTTTGTGTTTTTTGCGCTTGTGGTGATTTTTAGGCCATATTTGTATAATTTATCTTCTAAACTTCTAACTATTTCTTTTTTATGAATGGCAATTTTTTTATAAATTTAACAATATGAAATACTTACTTAAAATTATATAAAAATATCAACAATAACGCACATATTATTGTAAAGTAAAAATACTTTTTTAAAGATATCTTTGGACGTCTCATTGTTAGCTGATGATGAAACCAAATTGTTGTTGTTTTTTGATGTGGAAATTTGTGTTTTTATTATTTAAGTCTCGCAAACATTTTTATCTGAAAATAGAGGGTGGAAAATTAAAATAAAAATTAGTGCCCTATGTAATTTATTGAAAATGTTAGCGTAAATTTATAATGCATACTATGCCAATATTAACATTTGTAACTATAATAGTTATGTACTTGGTAGAATTAAGAAGGTTATCTTTATTCAAAATCGTATATCCAGTTCTGCATTTTCTGTAATTTACCTCTGCAAATAGTGTACCGCCTAGAAAACAGGTTCTCTGCTTGGTTTATATGGCAAATATGACTTTGAATTAGAAATAAACATATGATTGCATGAGGTTACCTTATTAATTCTACCGTAGACATATCTGGAATGCTACAAATATTCAATATATAATAAATAATATTTAAGGGTATTTTTTCCCCTTCAGGGAAGAGGTGTCCCTCTACCAACGAAAAAATATTCTGTAATAAATTACACTTAAGGTCACTGTGCTGAAGAAACCTGAGAATGTACAGGATGAGATAAAAAAACCGCAACAAATTCGAACGCCATAATTTTTACATTTCTTTTTTAAATTTTTTTGATTGAAAGCAAAAAATGTCGGAAATAGCATCAAATTTTAGAATAAGTTTAGATTTGTTCGAATTGGTCACCTTTGCCACGAATTATGGCCTTCAAACGGCCAATGAAACCGTTGCACGCTGCCCGAATGTTGCTCTGCAGTATTTTGGCCCATTCCCGGCGAAGCGCTTGCTTGAGGTGATCGAAACTTTGATATTTTTTAGTGCCAACCTTGCTTTCCCAAAAAAAAAAAACTCCAGACACAATAGTCCAACGGATTGGTATCCGGAGATTTTGTTGGCCATTTTGCGCTGGAAATGAAGCGAGGAACCCCATTTTGTAAGCATTCTTGAGTGGCGTTTGCTGAGTGCAATGGTGCTGAGTCCTGTTGGAATGTCCAAGGTCTGCGGCCAAAATGTTTGCGTGCCCAAGGCTTCAGTACACCCTCCAGAATATTTTCGAGATAATATTGGGCATTTATTCTGATTCTGTCGATTAATACGAGCGCAGAGCGACCATCGGCTGTTATGGCGGCCTACACCATCACCATGGCCGACACTTGAGTTCTGTTGGCCAACCGAAGGTGTACATTTTCAGCGGACCTCTTTGGCAAGCAAACACGATCATTTTGTTTGCTTACATTGTTCGGCTGGATAACGAATGTATTCTCATCGGAGACCGCCAAATCAAATTCGGCAGTTCACCACTTTCGGCCAAGCGAAGCAACTCTTTAGCTCTTTTGAGTCTATTTTATTTCTGATGCGGTGTAAGTTCTTGCACTTTTTGCAATTTCAATGGCTTTACCCCGAGCTCATTTTTTCAATGTTTGCCGAATAGAATATTGCGATATGTTTAGCTTACGCGCCATTTTTCGGCCACTGCGAAGTGGGTTTCGATCAAGTCGCTTCTTTGTTTTTCGAACCATTTATGCTGATGTTGCTATTTTCTTCCGTCCAGTATGACGATAACGAGCGATGGTACGAGACTCAGAAGATTTATTCACATTTAAATGCTCTGACGATAGCCACTTGTGGTTTTCCAGCCAAATATAAAGAAATCACACTATCACGCTTGAATTCCGAACACGAATAACTTTTTTTCTGGAAAATTCTCACCAAAATGTTTTTGTTTGCTTGTAAACAATATAATGAGCTGTCACTGGAATAATTTAAAACAGCTGTCGGGCGAGTGGCTTAGAAATGACAGCAGTCTGAAGTTGGTTGCAGTTCCTTCATCTCACCCAGTAAAAATAAAATATGATATAAAATATATTTATAAAAAGATTTAATTTCACTTTTTCATTTCATGGTTAATTTTGATATTTTGTTGAAATTTTCCACAATAAATTGAATTAAGAGGAGTGGGAAGTGAAAGAAATTATCCTCCTTCGGTTTTCACTTTTGGTCACCAAATAATCTAAATTTATAGCAACAACAAAAATACTTTAAAAAAATCACTGTTTCCCGGATTTAGTATACCCAGTGGTTTTAAATTGACATACTATTGATTTGTATTTAAATTTATTTATAACATTAAAATCTCTCTTATTTTTTGTCTTTTTTTGTATTTTTTTAAAACACCTTATTTCCATTAGGTCAATTGTTCAAATAAATAATTTCTTCAAATTTCAGTTAACATTCTCCACATAGACAATTTCCCGCAACTGATTAAAACATAAACTGCACCAAAAATAACTAACCGCTCAACTACGCACTCAATACAAGAATAAAAAACTGTGTATTTTCAAAATGATAAAAAAATAAAATATTGTATGATTTATTTTGAAACAAAGCTACGTGTGTAAAAAATCAACACTTCGATTTATTTATTATTTTGCTGGTGATTTCTGTGTGAGTATATGTGTGTGTCCAAAGTAATTTTGGTTAAATGGGGCGTTTTGTGACATCAAATTTGGAAAACAATTCTATATATCCAGTGTTGTTGTTGCTGTTGTTATTACGATTATTTACTCTTGATATACGCATAGACAACGCCACGGTTTGAAGTACAAGCACACTTTGCCTAAATGGTCCCTCATGAATTACTGGGCTCTGGGCCATGGCATTGCTTGCCATCAACAACACAGCGACAAAAGCAGCAGCATTTCCACAACAGATGTGAGTTGGGTAAATAGATTTGTTTTTGTCATAATTTTGCCTTAAATTCCTAACAAAAGATATTGAAAAATAGCAGTGTTTTATTCAAACACTTTCTTTGGAGTTTGTGTGCCTTGAAGTTTGCAGTGTGAAGTTAGCCTTAGAAAGGCATACCTCAAAAAAATACGTTCCCGGTTTCATAGCATTTCTTAAGGGAGTAAGCAAAACAAAGGGGAACCGTTACAAAGGCTGGCAGTTTTTTATTTAATAGAGAACGAATGAGAGAAAAAGTCAACAGTGTAAGAGCTTGGTACAGATATTAAAATATAGATTTGTTTATATAAAGTTTATAAACAATTGATTGGAGATTTATATACTTTGGTCTGGGATTTTTCAGTCTTCGAAAGGATGCCTAACTGAAATGCGTTCCAGGTTTCTTGGCATTTCTTATGGGAGTAAACAAAACAAAGTCTTAAAGGGCAACCGTTACAATTGGTGGGAGTTAGTCATTGCAGAGAAAGGAAGAAAGAGGGAGAGAGAGTAAGAGAAAATAAACCATCATAATGGAAATTAATGATCTAAGAGCGGGAAGAACAAAAAATAAATAAAAAACATATCGCAATTCGTAGGCACTATGGCGAAAAAAAAAATACCCGAACAATTTGCGTTTAATTGTTGTGGGAGTTGGGTCATATACTAATATTTAATAATACAGGGTGAGATGAAAAATCTACAACCAACTTCAGACTGCTGTCATTTCTAAGCCACTCGTCCGACAGCTTTAAAAATTATTCCAGTGACAGATCATTATATTGCTTACAAGCATACGAAAGCATTTTGGTGAGAATTTTCCCGAAAAACAGTTATTTGTGATGGAATTCAAGCGTGATAGTGTGATTTCTTTATATTTTGCTGGAAAACCACAAGTGGCTATCGTTAGAGCACACCATCCAGCATTTAAATGTGAATAAATCTTCTGTGTCCCGTACCATCAGCGTGTGATACTGGCAGCGTAGCCCGACGTCAAGGAAGTGGACGAAAGAAAACAGCAACATCAGCAGAAATGGTTCGAAAAATAAAGAAGAGACCTGATTGAAACCCCCGTCGCAGTGGCCGAAAGATGGCTCGTGAGCTGAACATATCGCAATATTCCATTCGACAAACATTGAAAAATGAGCTCGAGGTAAAGCCATTGAAATTTCAAAAAGTGCAAGAACTTACACCGCAACGGAACGAAAATAAACTCAAAAGAGCTAAAGAGTTGCTTCGCTTGGCCGAAAGTGGTGAACTGCCGAATATGGTTTGGTGGTCTCCGATGAGAAAACTTTCGTTGTCCAGCCGAACAATGTAAACAAACAAAATGATCGTGTTTACTTGCCAAAGAGGTCAGTCAGCTGAAAATGTGCACCTTCGGTTGGCCACCAGAACTCAAGCGCCGGCCATGATGATGGTGTGGGCTGCCATACACAGCCGATGGTCGCTCTCCGTTCGTATTAATCCACCGTGGCATCAGAATAAATGCCAAATATTATCGCGAAAATATTCTGGAGCAATATTCGGGCAGCGTGTGACGGTTTCATTGGCCGTTTGAAGGCCATAATTCGTCCCAAAGGTGACCAATTCAAACAAATCTAAACTTATTCTAAAATTTGATGCTATTTCCGATATTTTTTGTTTTCATTCGATAAAATTTAAAAAAAAAAAATGTAGAAACTATGGCGTTTGACTTTGTTGCAGTTTTCGTATCATACCCTCTCTAGCCATATGGCTGAGGGTATAAAAAATTGTTCAGATATTCGAATTGAAATTTTCTTGGACCTAAATTCATTGGTGTTTTTCTATAAAAAAAACATAATTTACAAAGCGGAAACTTCCCTCAAAGGCATTCCGTCAGCCTTTCTTTGTGTAGGTATTCCATTCACTATATTTAGTTCATCCAACCTGAATATGGGTTTTTCCTTTAAGGAAAATTGTTATTCAGCTTCGCTGAATGCATAGTCATTATTGTGAGCATTACCCAATAATTTCTTAGCCTGAAATGATAGGAAAGGAAACGTATAACAATAAAACGCCCTGCTTACACACATGCCGCCAGCTAGCCAGCAAACCAACCATCCATTCATCCATCCATTCAGTCCGTCAGCCAGTCAAACAAACCAAGATTTTAAGGGGAGGGGAAAAAGTGAGAATGACAAATGTTTATTAAACATTCAGGCCACAAGTAGCCGTTCCCATGGGTGGGTGTGGGGTATGGAGAAAACAAAACACAAAAGGAAATGTGAAACTGTGTAACCTATATCTTGGCAATGCAGATTCTCCAAAAACAAAACAGAGAAGAAAAAAGCGAACGAACACCGCTTTTTATCCTTTTCATAAACATCATTATG